GGAGGTAGTTAGAACCAGATGGTTTAAATGGGTACCCCCTAGTTGGGGTGCAGGTACGGCAGATAGTGTAGAACCTTTGGGTGGACTACTTAAATAGGCACTCAAAAGATGCACGTGTGGCTTGATGTACTATCGTTGTAATTACATATAAAACTTCGTCTATACTCTAATAAAAAGTTTCCCAGACCAAAGAGGTCACCTTAATTCAAAAAAAAAAAAAAACAATGGTTAAAATATTATTATAAAGCATAGTTTGGTAATAAGCCACAATCTATCTTAGCAGAATTTATACGTTATATGAAAGGTTAAATCCATATAATGATGATTCATTTAATCACTTTCAAGATGAATTAGTTAATTTTTGGGAATTTACTAGTGCTATAAGATTTGAATTGGCTAAGGTTGCAATTCGAATACACAGGATTTGTGTAAACTCAGTATTTGTCGAAAGACTATGGTCTAGTATAGGCTATTTATATACTAATAGAAGAAACCGGCTTAAGGTTTATTTTTTTTTAATATTTATATTGATTTTTTTAAATTGATAATATATACTTTACATAATAATTTTTTTAGCCAGAAAAAGTTCTCACAATAGTACAAATTAAAAGTGATATTACCTATAATCAAAATATTAAAGATTTACAAAATAAAGAAAAAAAAGTCTATCAGCTTCATATAGCAACACCAATTATTCTGGAAAAATCTGATAACAGCAATAATAATGATAATCAAGGAGTTAATAAAGAAAGTAAAAGCTTAAAAAAAAACCCTAACAACTATGAAAATAAACCAAATACTAAAGAAGATGAAGAATACTGAAATTTAATTATAGACAAGTGGATTAATAATGTAAAACATGAAAATCAATTTGATTATGTTAATGATACAACTTTTCTTTTTTCGGAATAGGATACAGATTTTGAAATAAGTAGGCAAACTATTCATCTTGCTGATGATGAGTTAGCAAAATGGTTATTAGAGTTGCTTTTTATTACTAATCTAGAGTTATCAACTTTTTTAGATACAACTATTACATTTACTAACAGTTAATAATTGGTTTAAAATCACTCTCACCAAACGTTATAGGAAGATCCCATGTTCAAATCCCAGGGATGGCGCTTTTGTAATATGGGAAAAGTCTGCGACGATCTTCACTAAGGTTGGCCCATGGAGGATCTGTTGAGACGGTGTCTGGTGGCACTGTTAAGGTAATTCCGGAAGGCTGTAATCTGTGGGCTTTACTTAGCACGGGTCACAAGACCAGAGATCGAAGCCTGTTTGGGAAGTCCTGAGTTTGGAGGTAGCAGTGATCTTCGACGGTACTACATGAAGGCTGAATTTAAACCGGGGCCCGAGATTGGAGAACCGAGCGATCAGGTCCTTTAGTGGGGGACACACTAGCCAAATCGCCGGTTAAGACGCACCAGAGGAAAAGAACATATGCTCCGAAAGTATGGACCAAGGGGAGGGCATCCTTCAGGCACCTAAAGCCTGGGCAGACCAACCCTTCTGGGTTGCTGGCTGGAAGTTAGGGATGGACCGATAAAAAATCTGGGTAAAGAGACGGCTCGAATGTGGGTACTGGAGTTGTTGTGAACCAATACAAGGGCAGGAGTACATAACGGAAGACTAATTAGGAATGTTGTACTTGAGATATGGATTGTGTTATGGCAGCACTCCAAAAGGTGGCATGAGATACGAACACAATAGCGGCAGGCAATATGTACTAATTGGGAAGAAATTACCAAACATGCAGGTGAATATACGTGTGGGACGTGGACCACTCTGTTAGGTTTACCTCGTGGATAGATTAGCCTCATTGGGGTTAGTAAGTCCTAAGG